ACTGAGGCACATCCCCAAATGCGGTGGGTGGGGGGTTAAGAATTTGAATAGAGGTGACCCTGAAAAGGGCCGTTTTTGCGTTCTCAATCTTACAAGGAAGTAACCTCTTCCAGGCACCGCCTTAATAACAATATACGATTTTTTTTTTTCTAATATAATTTTTTTATAATTCTAATAACCTTTTCCGCCAGATTTCAACCCTCTAAAATGGTGGGTCGCTGTTTTTTAAAGACATTAAATTTTGCGCAAAGTGGAAAAAATCAGTTTTTTTCGATTTCTCACCTTCAAGATTGTAACTTTTTCCAGCCAATTTGGACTCAAAACCGGCACTGAAGAATTATGTATCAAACAGAAAAGTTTCATCGAAATCGTATGAAAACTGTGGAAACGCATAAACTACATCCGATCACACACACATACACATAGATACATACATACATACACACACACATTTTGAGAATTATAGATATAGATACAATAATACTTACTTGGTGATCCAGTTCGTTAATTAAGGACAATAGAAAATCGATCCCCAACTTTATGTCCAGCAAAATTTTACATTATTGTTATTTTAACCATGCCGACAAAATGGCGGCATTTTTTTTTTTCTCACGTCCTCTCCAAAAAGAGGTTTCAATTGTGAAACATTAGATATACACATTGTCTGAAATTATTAAGCAAATCATATAAACTTCAATAATTCAAATTTGGTTTGAAAAAGATTGTAAAATTTTAATCAATAATATACAAAAACTTTTTTGGTAGTTTCAGTATGTTTTAAGTTATTGAATTTATTTGATGTATTCTAAAACAAAAACCTGCCGTCTGAATTTATTAGGCAAAACCAAATAAAATCCTCAAAAATTGATCAACACCTATAATAGAACAAATAACAAATACATAAGATAAGTTTTTGAATCCTTTACATTTTAATTATTTTTTTCAATAACACCCAATAATCTATTAATAATTGATTTTGTTATATTTTTTTACTACAGCAGGTTCAATTTCCGACATTGTAGTTTTAATTACTTCCCTGCTTTTCTGTTTTATTTTTTGCCACATTCATATAATTTCATTTTTACCATAGATTTTCGATCGGATTCAGATCAGGACTTGATGGTGGGAATTCCATTATCTTCTTTCCTGTAAATCTTTTATGTTAAAAGAATTCATAGGTAAGCTTAGATACATGAGAAGAAGTATTGTCATGTATAAATACACACTTCACTTTGAAACTGCAAGACTGGGACTTGTACTATTCAAAGAAAGTCTTGTTCATAAAAATCACAATAGTTAACATCGTTCAGTTTAACTCCTTTATAGACCAGGTGTATACATATTCATTACATCACTATTCTACGCATTTTGTCATTGTTGACTCTTTTCAAAGACCTGGGCTCTAGTCATAAATGGTTGATTCGCTATAACTCGCTATATTTTACGTTCATCTCGAGGAAGTCATTTTTTAAAAGCCTTTTTCCGTTTCTTCTCAATTTAATTATATTTTCAACAGTCTTCTTTATCGTTCAGTGATCTCTGTAAAGCTCCTTTGATATTTCCAATGTGGACATTTCCTCACGCAATAACTTTGTTATTTTCTGTTTTTCAGCAGTTGTTAAATCCTTCCTTTTACCCATGTTTCAACATATATTAAGGACAAAAAGAAAAAAATAGTTTTTTATTAGATTTCAGAGGTCACAAGCTAATATTAGTTTAATCTGCATAATAACTTCAATATCTGTCTATATTTCTGAGATGAGGTATTATGTACATTATTTACATTATTCGGACTATTGTCCTCATCTTTGTCGCCATATTTATTACAATGTTTCGGCCCTTCAATATCTGTCTATATTTCTGAGATGAGGTATTATGTACATTATTTACATTATTCGAACTATTGTCCTCATCTTTGTCGCCATATTTATTACAACGTTATGGCCGTTCTACGCTCCGGACTTCTTCAGGTGGTTGGAATGTCGAACTTAACCCTTTATTTCGCTCACTGGGGTAGACTGTTCTAGTTCCACGTGCCATGTTTAATAGATTTCAGTTATCTCCTGTTAATTTTCCATCTGAATGTTCTCCTCTGCCTTAACCGGGTAAAGAACTCACATGAGTGGGTCCTGTCACTGGATCTAACCAAGGCCTTTAGAGAACCATATGTCGCCGGGGACATTAACACAGTGGATAAAGACATCCAGTTCAATGCCGGTTAAGGCAGTAGGAACTTGAGGAAAATTAACAGGAGATAACTGACATCCCCCGTTGAGGCACGTGGAACTAGAACATTCAGTTAAAGACATTCCAACCACCTGAAGAAGGCCGGAGCGTACAACGGCCGAAACGTTGTAATAAATATAGCGACAAAGATGAGGACAATAGTCCGAATAATGTAAATAATGTACATAATAACTTCAGTCAGTCAATTTTCGTAAATTCCAAATACCTAAAAAAAACTATCAAAAATGACAAAAAAATTAAATATGCCACATCT